CTGGTCGTTTTTTCAGGGCGAGTGCTGGTAAGGGTACTTGCCGCGGGACGTCCGATGGGCTGCCCGTCTCCTGGCCCCTGGGCCTTCTGACTGGATTGGCAGGAGGAAAAAGGAGCTTTAAAAAAGAAAAATCCTAAACCCTAAACCCTACCCCCCCCAGCGGCTCGCAGCCGTAAGCCCAGACGCCCAACTTTCATTTCGAAACTCTCGAGACCCCCGAGCCCTGTCCGGGCCCGGAAGCCCCGAACTGCCCCCAAATCCTGACCTTTTGGGGTTTCGGGTTTGGGGTTATAGGGTCCCAAAACCCTAAACCCTAAAACTGTAGGGTTTAGGGTCCCTCAACCCTAAAGCCGATAAGCCCTATAGGCCCTGGGGCTCAGGATGCGAACCCCCCCCGTTCTTTGCTGAGCCGCCTGGCGAGGTCAAGCGCCTCATCTCCGAGGACGAAGCAGCCCACTTCCTCGAGATGCTTGGCCAAAAGGACTTGGGTTCAGGGTTTAGGGATGTTTAGGGTTTAGGGATGTTTAGGGTTCAGAGATGGCTAGGGTTTAGGGTTCAGGGATGTTTAGGGTTTAGCACGACTTCTTTGGGCTCAAGTAGCTCGCCTAAGGGTCCTATGTACTGTTATGGGGGGGATACTTCCCTGAATCACAACAAAATTCCGAAGGTAGAAGCCCTACCTTTTACTAAATAGGTACATAGGACCCCGTAAACCCTAAAGTGTTGGGTTTACGGGGTCCTATGTACTTCAAACCGATAAACCCTAGAAAGGGTGCCGTGTGTGAAGGCTTGGAAGACTCTTCGGCCTGCAGTGCTGTATGCTGAGTCATGAGAGTCTTGGGCTTAGGGCTTAGGGTTTAGGGCTTAGGGTTTAGGGTTTAGGGAGGCAAATCCGGTACTTGTAGTCTGCGGTTTGCGATTCATTTCAACGGAGTCAAGTTTGACGGAGTCCAGAAAAGTCGTGAAAGCTTGAAGCTCGATCACTTCTTGAAGACTTGCGAAGGAGGTGCAAACCATGTGCACGATTCATTCAAGCGTGCCAGATGTGGTCTCTGTGATTCTTCCGGTATGAGTACATGGCGACTCATGCTGCTTTGAAATATTTGCTAGCTTCCTGCAGCTCAAAGTCATAGGTTTCTACTACCTAAACCCCCAAAAGTACGTAGAATAATGGGCCCAAAACCTCTAAAAGGCTATTCTTCTACGTACTTTTGGGGTCCAGGTAAAGATAACCTTTACCTTAACGTAATGGAGTCAACCAGAGAGGAGCTTCCGCCGCGCGCGGACGTCGAGGCAGTGCCCCTCTCGCGGGAGTTTTGTAGGCTTAGCCCATAGGCTCCTAAGTAGTTCCTTTTTGTGGTTTATATATAGAATCCTATAAGGTAATCCCAAAAAGGAACTACTAAGGAGCCTCTGATTCCTTTCGGGCTGGGTTCGCAGACATGTGACTTGCGAGGTTGACGGTTTAGGTTTTAGGGCTTTAGCTGTTTTGAGGTTGAGGGTTGAGGTTTCAGGCTTTAGGCTTGGGGGGCTCCACTACTGGCTTAATACTGAAGCCTTAAACCCAAAACTCGGAAAAAAAGTCAGAAACCCTGGTTCTCAACCCGACACCCTCTCCCCTCCCCTGCAGGGCGACAGAACGCTGCGCTTGGTCGGCTTCGCCGAGACCGCGATAGTCAGAGCGGTCGAGGTGGAGTTAAGATCAGGTTTGGGCTTAGGGGGTCGGTTTAGAGTTCATATACTACGGTTGATGGTATAAATCCTACATTACCCAAAATAATAAGGAATAGACCATAATTCCTATAGTTTAGGGTCCTTAAGGCAATGCAGGGATTTGTCTCATCAACAGTAGGTAGGCCATTGGGACATTTTGTGTATTTTTCACTTGTTGGGCCCGCCGACGATCTTATCCACGAAAATGGCTCAAAGGCTTTTCCGGGGTGTCTCAGTAGCAGTAGCAGTAGCACTAAAAGTAGCCGTAGCCGTGGCAGTAGAACAAGTCTTGAGACGGTTGCAAACCCCAACCCCCCCAGGTACCTACTATATAGGGTACTGGAGCCCCTGGGGCCCTCTTGTAGGTACCTGGAGGGTTAGGAAACCTCGCCACTGGAGTGTTTGCAGCTCAAGCTTCTATGGTCGAAGAAAGCTCCGCAAATCCTCAAGGCCTTGCCTCTGTGCCGAAACCGTAGTCACACTGCAACTTCCCATGCACCCTAACCCCTAAATCCTAAAACCCCTAAACCCTAAAGCCTAAGACCCTAAACCCTAAACCCTAACTTGAGGCTGCACAAGGGTTTTCAACGCGCTCCGCAAGCGCTTGCAAGCGCCCGGAGAACGGGTTGGAGGGTCCAAATAGGGTCTTTAGGGTCTTTAGGGTGTTAGGGTTTAGTGTCTTTAGGGTCTTTAGGGTGTTAGGGTTTAGGGTCTTTAGGGTCTTTAGGGTTCAGGGTTTTACGGTTTTTGGATTTAGGGTTTAGGGTCTAGGGCTTTCTGTGGGGCTCGGTGTAACTTGTCGGCTCCAAGGGCGCCTGTTGGGGCAACCAAGCCCACTGAAATCTTATGATGGACTAAGCCCTAAACCCTGAACCCTGCACCCTAAACCCTGAATCCTAAGCCCTGAACCCTAAACCCTGAACCCTAAACCCTGAACCCTAAACCCGAAACCCTAAACTCCAAACCCTAAACCCGAAACCGTAACTCTAAACCCTAAACCCGAAACCCTGAACCCTGAACCCTAAACCCTGAACCCGAAACCCTGAACCCTAAACCCGAAACCCTAAACTCCAAACCCTAAACCCGAAAGCCTGAACCCTGAACCCTAAACCCTGAACCCTAAACCCGAAATCCTGAACCCTAAACCTGCAACCCTGAACTCCAAACCGTAAACCCGAAACCCTAAACCCTGAACCCTAAACCCTGAACCCTAAACCCTAAACCCCTCCAAGACGGAGGAGCCCCAAACCCTTGCAGATGCCCTTAACATAACAAACCCTTGTAAAACGAGGTTGAAAAGGACAGTGACAAGCCTGGTCTAGGGTTTAGGGGTTTAGGATTTAGGATTTAGGGGTTTAGGGGTTCAGGGTTTAGGGTAAAACCCTTATAAATCCTGAACTCGAAGCCCCGAACCCCTACATCCCAGAAACGAGAAGGGGTCTTCCAGGAGCGTCTCACCGCCGTGGGCGGCTTTTCGGTGGAACTGCTGGGACCGCCCCAGAACCCAGCTGTTTAGGGGTCACGGGAACCTAGAGGGTCCAATATACTACTACTACTACTACTACTACTACTACTACTTCTACTTCTTCTTCTACTATTACTTCTTCTACTACTTTTCCTACTTCTTCTACTACTACTACTAC